TACTTTTTTTCGGTAACGAATAATTAATTTTTGTTACTTTTAAAAAGTAACTTTCCTTTCCCTGAATATATGTATTAAAAACGAGTATTTTTTTATGTTTATACAAGTTATTTTAACAGCGACACAACAGTTTTTTGGCAGCGAAATTTTTGTAGCCAATTAGAATAAAATTTTGCACAAATATCTCAAGAATAGTATAAGATAAATGTACTAGTTAGTGGACATGAACCAATTGTTAGACAAAGATAAAATATTTCAAATATTAAGCTTTTATGATATGTATGATTCTAAATAAATTTATTACATTTTTATAAACAATAAATTTATTTAAAGTCGTACATACTATTAAAAGTTTAATATTTAAAATTTTGTATTACTTTATCCAACGAATTGGGTCATGTCTACTAACTGTCCATTAACTGATGTATTTACTTTATCAAGCGTACAAAGAGTGATTAAGGGTCTATTAAGTCTCTTGAAACGTTATAAAAATACGAAAAATAATGTGAATAATAAAGTGATAGGCAATAAGCTTATATTTATTAGACCTTATCCACAATCTAAAGAGCGTAATGTATTCATGTCCTTTATACGTATAGAAGTTACACTCTCGAGGAAATTCGATCGAAGATAGACATGCTGGACGTGCCCAAAGTGATGTGACACGATAGTCGAGGGAGAGACGAAAAAAAGAATCAATAACGATAAAGGTGATAATGTATGATTTGACTGTAAATAATTACTAGAAATATTGGTACGAGAGAACACTGGAAGTGATCCAGTGTCAGTCTTAGATCGTATAAATAAGAGAGCACTCGCGTCCCTTAAGTTTCGCGAACATGGTACGTTGATATATCTTTACGGTAAAAGTAAATTGGCGAAATTCTTTCTTGTTGCTTGTAAATTCAATTGATTTTTATCTACAGATAATTTGTGAATTTGCTCTGCTGTTATTTGCTTCTCTGCATATAGCATCAAGCAGCAATTACCAATGGTACAACGCTATAGAATTTTGGAGCAACGTCGTTTGCTCTATGAAAGATATTAAAACCATGAATTTTCACGGTATACTTGAGAGTAGTATTAGTTGGAGGAACGCTATTTTTCTCGAACAATATTTCCAGGCTTTTATATACGATGTCACGCGCAAGTGTGAAACAACGATTTTGTCGAGGATTTATACGCCTCCTGATTCAGAAAATCTTTTCGTAAATAATAACGACATAGCTTACAGAGTTGTAAAACGGCCATCGATCTGGAAAATTATATCCGGCGACGCACTTCCTTCTCGAGTAATGCCGTCGAATAATGTAGCTGGAAAGATACGAAAGATACGAAGCGACAAAACCTTTGATGGAACATGGAACATGCACATAATTCTTACAAGAGATGTGCACTTCTTCGATCAAATTTCAAAGGATGGTACGACATTCAAATGGAATTCGCACGATCGATTTATCGTGCTGTTCGCTCGTTTTCCAGAAGAACATGGACTGTCAAATAAAATGAACTCGAGAATCGATGATATCTTGAAAACATTGTGGTTCAAACATAAGGTGCATAAAGTTTTTGTCTCCGAGGTGATACTCATAAACGACACCATTCGAATTGATCGAACTGTTCGCACTTACAATCCATTTACCAAAGTCAACAATTCTGGTTTGTAGATTTTTTTCCTTAGAGTAAATTCATAATGCCAAGACTATAGTGAAATAGTTGAATGGATACACAAATCATTTTATATATCCATATAATTTCTGTATGCATAGAGAAAGATAATAAAAAATATTTAACACATCTACTTGATTTCAGTGTGGGGTCGAGTCGAAATTATAAATGTAATAACAGCGGAAGAAGCATCAAAAATGCTGTTACATTTAACATATCGCCGCACGAAAAATATGAATGGATATGTATTAAAAGTTGGTTATTTTAAGAAAAAAGAAAAATCAATCATAGAATCGATAAAAGGTCAATCGATTACACGTTATAATTACGCTGATGTCTTCAAAGAATTTGACGAGAAAGTGCTAAATACAATTGCTCAAGACATGAATTTTCAAATAGAATACGTACATCCGGCGGATAATAAATGGTTTGGTTCTCAATTGTTTAATGGAACGTACGTCGGTGCTATAGGTACTTAGTGATATTTCAAATTATTCGCGATATATATAAGTTCCTATTTTTGTTTCTGTTTCTTTTGAATATCCGATAGTATATAGTCAGCTTATACAGGTGACATAGTGTACGGTAGAACGGACATCTGCTTCATATCTTTCTTCGTAAAGAAATACAGTATAAATCCCAAGGAAGATGTAGACCTTAGTTCATACATAGACTTTGACAGAATATGCATGGTTGTCCCTAAAGCAACCAAGATACCTAAAGGAATTCGAATATATCATTTTTTTCCGTTGTCAATTTGGATCTGTTTGATGTTGACGCACATTTTCACGTATTTAATATGGTACTTTCTGCAAGTCTTTACTCCAAAAAGGTACAGTACTCGTATCTGAATGACATTAACGACGCGAATTATTTCATTGACAATGAGTGAAAAAAGTGAAGATACATTGTGATACATACTTACTTTCAGGACGATAAAGAGAAATTTACGTGCAACGATCTATCGATCGTTCCTATTGAATGCAGGTTGCCCCCAAAAATTGCCAAACACAAACGCGGAAAGGATATTACTTTCAGGCGTTTTTCTTGTTAACATTACTTTAGTTGGAATTTTCAATGGTATTTTGTATAATAGTTTCGCATATGACATGTATTATCCAGACATCGACAATCTTCATGATCTTGACGTTTCGGGATTGCCGATATCCTTATCTTCCGCTAGCCTAGCCGATCTCTTTGACAACGATGATAATGACGTCGACTCCTCACTCATGCGAAACTTGCAAAAGAAAATACAATTCAATGAAAATGGTATAATCAGCACAGCTTATTATCGTAATACCTCGGCATTCGCTAGAGAAAGTTATTTTCCCGTTATCAGCGAGGAATTAGCTGATGCGGACGGTGGGCCATTACTTCATCTTGTCAAAGAATGTCCCGGTACGAAAAATATAATAACAAGTACTTATAGAAATTCTAATTAGCTTAAATATGCCTGTGTAATAATAAATAGTTAATATTACATGAGTATAAATTCTAGGTAAATTCTACTTGTCGTATTTGCTGCCCAAGAATTCAATTTTCAACGAAAAGATAAACACATTAATCAATCATTTGAATCAGGCCGGTTTACCGACGTTATGGTATCAATATATTGTTAATGCCTTCGACGTTCACAAAAAGTTATTGTCCAAAGAAATATTAGCTCGAAATAAAAAGAAAATGGGCAGCTTCGTGCCATTTAATCTAGCTGATATGCAGTCATCTTTCTATATGCTACTGATAGGATTATTAATATCCACGATAGTATTTTTTCATGAGAAGAACTGGTTAAAAGTACCATTGTTGCATATTGAAAAAAATGATAAATCTACATGCATTAATCATTGAATCATTGGTAGAGTCGCGTCTTTTTTTTCAACTTTTGCAATTTTTTCAGAGATTAAAATTGCTCAAATGACATAAACTTAAATGATATATGCCTGTACCAGACACAATTATAAACGAAATTATGAAAAAAAATACTTTCTCTTTTTTTCTCATAATTCCATATTTTTTCTCTCTCGATCATTTCCAATTTCTTCCAATGAGGCTACCTTCGTAACCATCCAAAAGGTATGGGAATCATAGTTCTCGACAATTGGTATCAAAAAATTAAGTAGATACAAATTCAATCTTGTCATTATCGATTTTTTTTCAGAAAAAATGTATTTTGATTCAGTAGCGACCCCTTGCATCCTTCTGAAGGATATGGGAGTTTCCTCCGTCTTGAAATAAGGGTATTAACTATGGATTGTAACAACATTCAACCTTGACACTTTCAGTAAAAATGCTCAAAATCTGTACATTTTGGAAAGTCTACCTTCTCTTTAAGCGATCTCGACCGGGCTTAAATATATATATACAATTTTTATGTTTTACATGAAATAAAAAGTTACCCACTGTCGCTGGGTAACAAAATCATTACAGTGGCCTCTTGGTCTGACAAATAGACAGAACAACGAGGATGCATTGTTTGTAGTGATATTGTTGCTGTTTCTCATGACAGAGATTCTCAAGGTATCATGGGTTTGCTTTCCGCACTCTGGGAGATTGTTTTTTTCGTAATTGTTTTCATAAATTTGGAGAATTAATTGATTTTTAGCACTATTAAATAGCATAAACTTTATCTTATATTGTTCTATATCGCAGCAATTTTGTTTGATTTTTTTGGGCAATTGTTCAAACCCAAAATTATAAACAATTGAACAAATCAGCATCAAACTGACAAAGCATGTTTAACGGAAAAAGTAATTTTTTTTTTAATAAAATAATTTCAAAAATACTTTACAACGTAGGATTCGCAAATACGTACATTATGTATGTTAATACAAAATAATTACAAAATATTTATAATAACATATATATTACATTATTATTATTACAGTATTATATTATAAATATTATATTATAAACGAAATGTGTTACGGTAAAAGATATTGAAATACAGGTACTTATTCTATTTGCATTAAAGAAAACTTTAAATAAAACTCAAGAAATCATGTCATTTATGTAATATTAGGAGATTATTGCTAATAATATTGTCAACAAAATTAAATATATGTGTATACGAATACATAGCATATCTTTTTTAAATCGATAAATTTAATAAATAAACTCTCGATATACACATACACACAGACAAAATTCTTTTCACACACATAATCTCTTTTTTATAATTTTATTTTATTATTCTAAATGTACCTATATATGTACTTTTCAAAAAAAAACGATACATACATGTAATATGTGTAATTAATTTGTAATAAAACACACTCATTTATGTAAAACGCACTCTCCAATAGAAATGTGTAATTGCAAAGCTTCTTCTCTTTGATTCTTTTTTCTAATAAAATCTTTGAAAATAACACGAACACTTTAATATTATCGCATGACAAATGACATGATTTTTAAACTTCGTCAGGACTCAATTGTCGCTTTTCATATTTTTCCGTTGATACTTCTTGACCGATAGTCGATTCCGTTTTTTCGCGTTGTAATTTCTTTAATAATTTGTTTGCCATTTGCGATATCTATATGTTATGATACATCAATGTAATACATATAATTATGATATGCAACTAACACAATACACCAAAATATATACACTAAATATATACCTGTATATATGTGTACACACACACACACACACACACACACACACACACACACACACACACACACACACACACACACACACACACACACACACAAATTACCTGCACATCGACTTCAACGACAGCCATAATGTCATTGAGCGCTGTTAAAATTTCAGCGGCATCAGCTTGTTTCCCGCGAGCATCAAGTACCACAGCATAATTGATCAAAATTAATGGATCCTGAGGAGCTAATGCGTGTGCTTTCGTCAATGATCTTTCGGCACCTTCCAGATCATCCAAACGTTTTAGAGCCACTGAGATAAGAAGAGAAAAAAGAATTCAAAAAGGAAATACGTTTTACTGATAATAAAACTCTAGTATAAGACTTCTTTTTGGATGGCCGCGTTCTTGTTTCGCTAATCACTAATAAGATTAATGGCGAATTCGAAAGAAGCACTAGTGCGCACTGATACATATTAAAGCCATTGTTTACTGATTTAATTTGAATATGAAAATGAAATTCAAATATTATATTAATTCAAATTATAAAATACATATTTGGAAGTTTGGGATGTGTCCGGAGCTCGAAGAATCTTCGTGAAGAAATTATGTCCGTGGTGGCGATATGAAATAATTGAGACTCGCGATTGCGATTGTGAAATTTTCCTTTTTAATCTAGTATGTACACATGTTGTCTCTATGGAGTCTTACAGTCGAATCTCTGCTTTATCTCGCTCGTTCCGTGCTTTGTTCGAGAACTTTTTTATAAAATAAAAATATTGTTTCCGCAGGTCGTTACTATTTATTATCACTGTTGTTATATTTCAAATAAGTTTGTTTAAACCGCGGAAGATAATAATTATTACATAATATTATTATAATATATATAATTTACAGTAATATAATAATAATAATATGCATTTCATTTTGATTTACGATGCATTGTGAGGAAAGTATTTGACGCGAACTGCCATAAGAAACAGCAGAGGCATTTAAATGTCTGTATTGTTTCGTCGAAATGTTGTGTGTACAGACAACGTTGTATTTTCTCCAAAATTCAACACATCTTCGCCTTATACAATAATTGTGGCGATAAAATTGTCGCTACACATATTTTACCTAATAAACGTATTGAGTATTTCACGATTTAATCGATTTCTATGTTTATTTATAGACATATCTTTACGTTATTTTGTACAAGACAACTAAATGTGCACCAGTAATGCGCACTAAGTGTGTCTAATCGAATTCATTGTAATTAAATTAGCCTTTTTTTATAGTGAATAATAAAATTATATAAAATATAAAGCCTTAAATTTGTTTTTTGTACTCACAACCTAATAACAGATATGGCATAGGATTCTTCGGTTCAGCACTGATTGCAGCACATAAGTAAATCGCGGCTGATGCAGGCTGTCCAGTGGTAAGAAAAACGATTCCCAGGTTGCACGATGGAACGCAAGACATCGGGTTCAAATAATGTGCTCGCTTCAACGAGCTAATAGCCTACGAAATATTGGAAAGGAACATTGTTAGAAATGTTTGTGAATTTCCAATACCCTTACAATAAAAATATGCAGTATTTATAAACCATATTACGTTTTGCTGTGGTTTTACATTATTTGTAAATTTACAATGGAAATTTATTGTGAATTTACAAAATTGGCGCGCTGCGTATTAAAGATTTGCATATACTTCACCACAAAATATTATTGTATATATTTCGTAATATAACTATTTTTAATTTACAGCACATTTTTGTTGGATAAAAACTTTCAACTTTTGGAAATTTACACCAGAAATTTCTTACAGTAAATATTTTGATTTTGCATTCAGTCTTTCGCATTATCTTGTCGATAATGATTCAAATTTCCTTTCTGATTGCATCGCTTCTAAAAGAATTCATCTATAACGTGGATTAAATTCGTGAATAAAAATCATTGCCTTATATTCTATTCTTTTCTTTATATTGATATCTTGATTTTAAATTGATTACGTTATCTATCTTAAAGCCCTTTTCATTGAGACTTAAAGTACTTCGATTCTAATGAAATAGTGTTAGAATTATTGGTTTTCGCCGATTTCGGATCCAAAATTTAAAAATTCAAAATGGCTGAATCAATATGGCAGATGGAAATGTTATGAAAATGCTGAAAATCTTCCGATTTCGGCGAAATGTAGTGTTAAAGGATTTTTGGGTTCGCGTATTTCGAATCTGAACTTAAAATTTGAAAATAAAAAATGGTTGAACTAATATGGACGCACATTTGTGTGATAATCTCACATAAAATGACTTTATACATTGCTAAAAAAATATTATAGGTTTGGAATAAAAAGTTATTTTCATTGAAAAGCACACATACAAGCGCGTATAATAATTTATGACTGTAACGATTTTTTCTGAGAGGAGCACGCACAGTTAGCGCCATTTTTTTTAAAAAGATTTATATTATTAATCTAAAAATTCTTTATAATATAATAAATATAACTTATTTCCTTTTTTGTTAGTCGATTGCGATTTTATTATTATTATTATTATTTTATTATTTTATATTATTTTTATTATTTTTCTAACAAACTGATAATAAAATAAAGTAATAAAATCAAATAAAATTGTAAAACCAAGGAGTGTAAGGCGTCAGCGCGATACTTTAAACGCAATATTATTTATTCTTGCAATTAATTACAATATTAAATTTGTGCAATATTGAATATGCTGTATATACTGTACGTTTCGAGTCATCTTCAGTGATGTCGATAATGATAAATTAGTGATTGACAAAATTCTGCATGTAGACATATGATAGTTGCTTATGTCTTATAAATAAATATTACAAATTTCGTTTTCGAGTATGCTACGTTTGACAAATCATACCACATAGTGCAAAACGGTATAGTAAAACTTGTATATCAAATGCAAATATCAAATTTTAAATTATATCATTGAACTGTTTTTTAGCAATTAGAATAAATGAAACGTTATATTTCGTCATGCATTTGAATAACTGACTATCCATAACTCGTTAGCGGAAAAATATGAATAAAAGTTTTCCTTTCATTTCTCTTTTCTTTATATACATATTATATATTAAGGTATATTGTTTCTAAGAAATGTAGTAAAAGTTTAGTTTCCTTTTAATTTTTTTTAACGAATAGCAAAGGGTCATATTCACGTCACAATAGAGTCACAATAGTCAGGAAGAAGATGTGATGTCACTGTGAGATGATTGTCATAACAAAATAACATATGTACAAAGATATGTTATAACACAAAAATATTCGCACATCATCGTGACATTGCTATAATATCACATTTGTGATAAAGCGGACATTGGCACGTCACCGATGGTTGTAACTATGACATTTTTTGCTATGGAGGAATATTACTATAAATTGAGTCATCACTTCAAATAAATAAAGGAATTTCAGAAAAAAAGCGATAAAGATAAAGATGAAGGTAAAGCAAAAGAAAAAAAAAAGGTAACTCACCGCAACATACTTTTGTTTCGCGTAAAGGCACATTCCAATGTTGTTCCAAAGGATCGAAGATTCTGGAATGGTCTGTGCCGCAACTTTATATTTCGATAAAGCCACATCATACTCTCGATGACTCTGGAAAATATAATATACGCTGTCCAACGAAGCAAAGAAACAAATTCTACGAAGAATGCAAAGTAAGAATAAATAAATCTTAATACTCTAACGAATATGCATTTGTAATAGAATATGCCTTCATAGTTGTTTATAATATATTAGCAAAGCAGAATAACGCTTTATCTACTTTATAAATCAAACGAAATTTAAATAATCGAAAATTAATTTGATGAAAATAATCAGAACGAACATATGATTAGAGTACAAGATGTCAATTGATTACATTTTTTCGTGAATTAAAGAGAAGTGCTCAAAGAAACGTTATTGTATGAATTTCTATAAATTTGTGCACCTGCATTACATAAGCCATAGGCAAGATTGCCTTGACGCAATTAGGCGAATGAGCCAAAGCTGCTCCAAATTGTTGAAATGCTCGTTGTGTATCTCCGATTTTAAGATATAAGAGACCCAGTTCTGTCGCTGCATCTATACTCTGGGGATTCCCGCTAAGAGTAAAGAAAGTGTCGAAAGTTTAAGTTGTATTAAAATGAGAGAAACGCTAAAAGAAAGGAAACAAGAAAGCGATAAAATAAGAAAAGTGTTAAGAAGAAAAACGGTAAGCTAAGAAAACATGTTGAAGATGTGATAAAAAAAATTACTCTATTCTACATGTAATAAATATTTTTAATTTGTTCGCAGCTAATGGTATAAAAATTAACATAATTTAATTTTTAATTCGCGCGATTCATAACTACGGCTTGTGATTCATATAACTTACTTACTTTAAAGCTGCCGTATAAGCGTTTTTAGCTTCTGGAATCATATCGTCTAAGAGATAAAGTCTCGCAAGATCAATATTGGGCAATTCACTTTTAGTTAATTCCGTGGATCTTTTGAAATATTTTTTACCCTCTTGTAATTGGTTTAATTTTACATAAGCCTCGCCTGAAGACGAAAAAGAAAATAATTCCGTTGGACAGAAAGTGTTATTTTACTTAACAGTTAAACTTTATAACTTTAATTATGCTCAAAGCAAATACTTGAAACGCGATTACATACTTATTTATACGAGTGCAACATCGAACAAAAGTACATTTTCCTCAAAATTAATAAAGTAGCATGAATTCTCTGATAGGTGCATCTGCAAGTTTATAAAGCTTAGCTAATGTGTTGTGCAAAATAATACATCGCATTGTGGAACAAATAACTTGCCAAGGCCATGATATATTTCCCAATCTGGTAGAACAGATATCTTTTCAGCTTCCGCATATGCATCTATTGCGCGTTTGTGACTTCCCATTATCAGTCTAAAAATTGTCGCGTTAATAATTCGTGATATTCGTCATATATTTTGTCATATAATTTGTAATTAAGAATAATTTTTAATTACTTACAATGATTTTGCTATCTGTTTAACATTATCAATATTTGTCGAATTCACATTATACGCGGTTTGAAAACAATCCAAGGAATCTTGAATCCTACCCTCCTTTCGAAGAATTAAACCCTATCAATAAGATCATTATATATTATCTGATACGACCGTGTAACAAGGATAAATATTGGTTGTTTATAATTATTCATTATTTACAGGCTGTACGAATAAAGACATTATTCTTTTGTCGAATAGTTTTTAGCAAATTCAGTCACACTTGCATTACTAGATTAGTGCACACTAAAAACTGCTAAGTATGAAATTAGTGATGTTGAAACATATAAAAAATATTTTAAACGATTAAAAACCTAATAATAATATTTATACGTTATTTAATAAAATATTTAATTGTTAAGATTAATTGTATTGCCATTGCATTTAAATATGTTACATCAAGTAATCTTTAATATGTGTACTAATATTATTAATCTAGTGTGAGAGACCAAAATCAATATTTAATTATTTCCACACTTTCCATCATAGTTTGTCACAGGTCGCAGACAGTGGCGGATAACGACAAACTATCAGAGTTGGGTAAGTTAATGTTTTTTTTTAACTGACTAAAGTTAAAGTTAATGGCTTTACAAAATTAATAAAATTAAGTTAAAAATTGTAAGAATAAAAAATTAACTTAACGTAAGTTAAATCAATATTGAATTAATTTAACAAAAAAATTAATTTTGAAAAAATTATTTTTTAGATTTTTTTAGATAATGTCTTAATTTTTTTCTTAAAATGAGATTAATAACTACAATATAGATTATTAAGTAAATTAAATTTTTAATTTTTTTATTCATATGTGATATAAGTATATAACAATATAACTATGTAAATTATATAACTTTAAAAAAAAAACAGCCAATACATAGAGAAGATACAAGATCAGTGATTACTTTTTAATAAGTCTTAAGCCATAAGAAATTGACCAATTACAATCGAATGCGAGAAGAATATTTAACTGTAACTGGTCAATTTCTTATGACTTAGGGCTTAAAATACTTATAGTAGATCCAGACTAAGACTTGGCATAAGGCATGACCACATAAACCAATCAAAGGGCTGTATTAGCATCTTAAGAAATTACTTAGATGGTCTTAAAATATGAACAGATTACAAATATACACCCTTAGTCTTATTATATCTTATTATTTTTCTAAGATATTTAAAAGAGATAAAAAAATTTTTTAGCTTAAAAAAAAGTTAAAAATGTTTAAAAGTAACTTAGTTAAGTTAAAATTTAATGCATTAAAAATTAACTATTATTAAGTTAAGTTAAAAGTTATTAACTTTTTAACTTTTAACAGTTTAACTGTAGTTACTATCTAATCTTGCAAACTATCGAAAATTGTTGTCGATTTTAGTGTTAATTTTTATTTTTGTGCATTTTTATTTTGACCAAGTTATGTATCAAGAAGACTTTCGATTATTCTCGAAAAATGTTATACATAAAAGAGTAAGAAAATGTATAGAGGTATGTATTATATACTAAAATAAATCCTATGGTAAAATATATCCTATGGTATTTTTGCATGCGATATTATTTAGGAGAATAGTCTCGATTGCACCTTTAAATAATTGGCATATTCGTGACCATTAGATTTCATTAATTCCTGCTCGATGAGTAATTTGCAAGCGCTGTATTCATGTCTCGTGTAATGTCGATGTAGCAACCAATTGCGACTCTCTATTGCTGCTATGTCTGGTGCTGCGTCCAACAAAACGAACAATAAGAAACGCGATAGAAAATTACATCTGACAAAGAGCAATTCCGATGTGACGCACATCACAAGATTAATAGAGAATTTTTGCAACGTGAATCCAGATACGACGCTAAAGTTATCCTTTTCTTAACTTTTCTTAACTTGTTAAGAAGAAAATAAATGTGACCTTGACATTCACCGCGTATCTGGCGATAAACTCTCTATTATCTTGTTATCAAAACTCAATCGATAGTGAATCAAGTATGTTTATTTATACTTAAAGTTTTGATTGAATTGAATGATACCTCGATTGCCTCGATCGTTTCTTGTTCGTTGTACAACAGTGTTTTCTCGTAAATGGCCATTGCTGAGAATATCATTTGCCATTTTTACGAAACTCTAATCTTGACGATCTGTCTCTTTCATGCCCATTCGTTTGATAACTGTTGATAACTGGTTTTCGTAAGTTTGACAAGTTTGATTGCCATGGTAACGAAATGTAAACTCACTTGACGCATCCCGCGTATGGCATAGATGATCCAATTTTTCATTCGCTGGTAACGGAATAGCGTAAACCAATAGTCGCATTCAACAGACACAACTATTGCAGAAGAATCTGTGAGCGCTCGCTGCTATTGGTGTATTTTTTTATATCCCATGGTGTATTCATAGCTCTTCCTTGAGGAAAGAGGATTCCTTGTTTTTCATTAACGTTTCATAAACTTTCCTTGACCAAATAAGAAGCCTTCTTTTTTTCAAGGAAGGTTACGAGTTTCCTTGAGGAGGAGGAGGTGCAGTTTTTATAACTAAACGAATCTCCAAATTTATTTTGTAACACCGGTCTTTTTACTTCCGATAGCTTTTAATTTAGATCTGTCTCATCGATAATTATTTTTAGCTTTTTTTTCAAAAATAAACTGTGCTAAAAACATTTTCTCCTTCATATAATAAGCATTATGGCGAATTCGACTGGAAGCATTGACGCATCCCAACAAACGAGAATGAATTAAAATGGATTGAATTTTGTTCTATCCGAATGCGTATTTTAAATAGCGAATACTTTTTTTTGGATTTAATTGGATTCAATTCGATTCAATTGGATGCAATTGGATTGAAAAACTGCATTTCCTATTCAAAATTTTGAATTGAACAGTATTCACAATTGCGTTTGTATGCACAGCTATAATATAATAGCTAATATTATTTTTAGATTGAAAGGGATGGAGATATGCTCCTTGCAATTTCTATAAATGAATAAAAATGCATTGAGATTGAGGATATTGAAAAGCATTCATTTTAACATTCGTGAATCAATATTTCTAAAAATTTGAATCCATTTCAATTCATTTCAATCCATTCTCGTTTGCTGGGATATTAAAACCGTCACACACTGATTTAAAAAAAATAAAAAAAAAAATAAAATGCAAATATCTTGAATTATGAAATACATATTTTATCTAATAGTGGAATAAAATGTATTTCACAATTTAATCGATTTTTATATTTATTTATAAATATATATTTACGCTTTTTGTGTATGTAGAGCGGTTTTAATGTGCATCAGTGCGCACTTAGTGCGTCCAATCGAATTCGCTTAGTTTTATTTTTGTCCATTATTGTTGCAAAATGCTTAATCACAATTTTATTTAATCAACAATGCCTTTAATAATCTTTATTATTCGTAATTCACGATATTAGGTTTGCATATATTATATATTATGATATGCTGTAGTAGGTTAATAAAATCTCTAAAATATTCCTTCCTTCGAGAAGGCAGACTTGAGATCAGTTTATGATACAAGGAGGCATCGAGGAATCCTTCATGGAAGCTTCCTTAAAATAAGGAAGGATTGAATACAGGTGTTAGATCACGTGGCAACGAGCGCTCCATTTCACAACATTTGAGTCTGCTGAATGCGACCAATCTATGTGATTGCGCGGAATCGGAAGAGATCGGTTGCACTGCGATTGACTGTACGCACTTATGCAGTGCAAGTGCAACGTAGTGCGCGCCAAATACATTGATAATTCCAAATAATGGAAAATAAAACAGCGAAGAAGAAAGAGGAGAGATAGAGAGGTATATTGTGCTGATATATGTGGATGTTATCAGATGCGATAACACTGACTGACGCACCTGTGTTATTAGTGTTGTTATTGTTCATTTTGCTCATTATCACTAGCGCCTCAAGTGCCTCAACGGACCCAAAGAAGATGTAGGCGGCTGTCGGACACAGCCAGACGACGTGCGGTAGAGTCCGAATTTGCTTCGTTTCACGATCAACAAACGATATTTCTCTGTTGTTGGAAGGTGCACGAAATCGTGAAAACTGATATAATTAAAGCTCAGCTATTAGCAAGAAAGCGATGTGATGCGGAATCAACGTCGGCTGTGGCTGAGGCCGCAACCAGCCGGTTAGGTTAGGTGTTTTGTCAGAGTGACGTTGAGAAAAAAATTACAAGTCTCGCTTATCACTGATTTGACACCTGCTTATGTGAGTTTGGCCTCGCGCTCGTGCATTCTTGCTGCCTGAATTCTTATACTAAAACGAGCTTGTGGACGTATAACGCATGAAAGATCAGTTTTTCTTTTCCACCTGGTAATTACAAAACTTTCCAATTGTCAGGAGAAAAAGAGAGATAAATATATCACTAGTTGTTATATCTTCCTCTAAATTAAGGTTTCTATTCTATTGATACCAGTTTTATTCGTCTTGTGACATAGCAATATTGTATCATTTTACAGGGATAAATGTATAAATGCAATGTGGTAAAGAAAAGAAGCCAAGATGAGCTGTTCTGTGGAATTACGCCAGCGTAGGCAACAGGGGATGGCGGAGGATCCTCATAAACTCGCGGCGATGATGAATAAATCTCAAAGACTTGTACTAGGACTTTTAGTTCTACTACTGGTCGATATAATTTGGGTTTCCAGTTCTGAGCTTACCAAAGTAAGATCAAACTTTCCATATCTTTTGCCTTCTCCACAAATATATTACAATTAGCTTATTTATCAACATTTGTTACTTGCAATTTGTCAGTGCAATCGATAATTAGATACATTTGAAAATTTTTCTTGTATATACAATTATAATAGAAATCACAGTGATACAATATATATCATTTCAGTACATCTATAGGGATGAAACATTCGAAAGGCCATTTTTTAGTACATATGTAAGAACATCTATGTTTACATTTTATTTGCTTGGCCTGTGCTTTTGGCCACCCTGGCGGGAACAATGTAATAAGCCTGCAACATATATGGTATTATTAAAATTGCATAAAACACATCATTCTTTTTTTTCTCCACTTATACATCTCACAGATTCTGATATATTTTACTTTTAGTTTATAGATCCCAATGTTGAAGATGATAACTTTTATTCGGAGGCTAATACAAGTCTAGTGAGTATGTGTGCATGTGTATGTATGGGTGAAAGAAATTATTAGGATTGAGAGAGCTGTGCATTGTAATATTTTTATTATATGTTAATGATAGTGCAAAATAAAATGTCATGTGCATTGGATCTAATCCAGATGCTTTTTAAGTAAATTGCTCTGGAAAAACGTTAAAAAATATTTTATTGCTATAAGAAAAATTAATCCATTCTATATATTGAAAAAAAAAGTCTGATAGTAACTATTAAATGTCGAATAATATAACTTTAATTAAATATTTAATCAACTAAAAATAATTTTACTTTTCTAAATATTTAGTGTTACCGCAAATATGGTAATATAATTAATCGTTTATTAATATTTACTAAATATATAGAAAAGTAAAATTATTTTTAGTTATATTGATCGAAGACTTGATTATAAATTATTTCACTTAAGATTTGATAATTATTACTAGACTTTTTTTGTATATGCACGTCACGTATGTGAACTAGAAGATTTTCTCGTTCTGCTATTAATCTATTAACAATTACTCATTTTATCATAGAGTGATCCAACGTTTGTTCCAATAAAAACACCGGATCATTGTGATCGTTCGTCAGGAACGGAAAGTGACGATTCATCCATTCGCTCTGTACGATTCAGCAAACTGGCGGAAGTGCGCCATATGTCCGAAAGTGATGCCACCGAGGCTTTATTGGCACGACTTAGTTATCAAGCCAGTGTCAGAGCTGGAGAACAAGCGAGACGACAAGCTAATAAATTCTCTGTACAAAAAGTGGCTAAGATAGCTCTTATGTTTTGCTTATTTGTAAGTAACAATGTGAAATTCAATCAAACGCATTGTTCTCTCGACATTACGTGTTATCGGAACTGTCTTCTAGTGGTTCATGGCAAATTATACATACCAGATGTCATTGGAGCAAACCCCAGCTAGAATTGTTACTGTATTGTCTTCGACGTCCAGTTTATTCACTTTATTTCTCGCTGCTTCTTTTCCCAGTAATGGAGGAGACAAATTTACGCTGTCCAAATTAGCTGCTGTGATAGTTAGTATCTTCGGACTGGTAAGTTGCAAGTTTATACAACAAAGTTCACACAAATTATAATTAAATTCGCAAATACAATTAAACAAAATAATTCTTAAGCAGAACGTCTAACGTTTCACATTTCCTTTTGAATACAGAGAATAGAAGATATGCACGCGTTAGATATCATGCGATATATGTGGAAAAACATTTTCTTTATTTGCAGGTACTGGTCGGTATTTCAGATTTAACTATAGAAAGTAATAATATGTCAACGGGCATAATATTAGCTCTAGTCAGTGCTTTTTTCTATGCTGCATACATTGTATTTTTAAAAAGAAAAGTAGATCACGAAGACAAGATGGATATACCAATGTTTTTTGGCTTTGTGGGAATATTCAATTTAACACTTCTGTGGCCTTTATTCTTCATTCTTCATTATGGTCATTGGGAAGAGTTTGAATGGCCCAATAGCCACCAGTGGACATTCCTAATTATAAACGGTCTAATTGGTACTGTTCTGAGCCAAGTTCTTTGGCTATGGTAATTTCAATACAATTCAACGTGTTGTCATACATACGGTAATAATAATAACAACTTTTGTACTTTTATGTAACGTGATTGCATTCTATTGTATCTACAGGGGTTGTTTTTTGACATCATCTCTCGTAGCAACAATGGCTGTAAGCTTAACAATGCCCATGTCAATGGTAGCCGATGTTCTCTTGAAAAAAGTTGAGTATCCTTGTATTTTCTATTTGGGAAGTATTCCAATGCTTTTAGCATTCCTGACAGTATCTCTTTTATCTTATTACGACAACTGGGATCCTGTTATGGATTTAATTAAAAGGTTTTTCATCTGGATATGCAGGAAAAACAACAGATCTACAAGGTAAAGCATGCATTACATGTAAGATATAAATATTATATAAAAATCAGAATAACAATATAAATTGACCAGAATTATAATATCATAATATACACGTACTAACACGTAACTACACATACATACAAACTGTGAAATGAGAAATCAATATTTTCAGGATCCCAGATCTTGAAGCAGAGCAAACGGAATCTTTAATAGGAATAGACAGTGGTGATCATGAAGCTTAACAAGACAATAATGAGAGAATTGAAAATAAAACACCACGTGTGTTACATACATCATTGTAATGATATCTTAATTAACAAACACACATTTCTTGGTAAATACGTGCCTCTATCGGCCGTAAACTTTCATTTAAATCATCATAAGTTTTATATCTTATTGCAATAATGATTATCACAGAATCTTTTACTTTTTCTATGTGAATGTATCGCTTTATTTCATACTAACTTCACAAAATGATATTACTGCCGGACAATAACGATTGCGAGTTAATTTACGACGAATGCAATTAACATGCTTTATTTGTTCGAGCTCACATTATGCATTTCTGAAGCTACCTCTTTTTACATTTCTTATCAATTTATTTTGCAAATGAATGTGGCTTTCATAAACTGTGCCACCAAAATCTGGTAATAACATAATAATTGTTATTTCGAGACTATGCGTCTTTTAGGTCTTACGCTATATCCTATTCTATATAACTGGATTCGCAAAGAACCAGAAATTCAGTGTCTTTACCAAAATCTGTATATACTATATAATAGAGAGTTAATGAAAATCAAAGAAATATTCCTTCATAAGACTATACTTTTCACTAAACAGTAATATTTTTTATGCTATTGAAGCTTTATAACACAATGATTAATGAATGAATAACTTATTAACAAAGGCAAATGGCACTCTGCTACGTGCTAAAAGTAACGTTTTCATAACGGAGCACCAGTGCGTTCTGTACTTATTATTTTAGTATTTGGCTGATTTTAGACGAAGTATTATAAAGAGATAGTTTTACTAAGGGTTACATAGTGAGGAAAGAGAGTGCTATAAAGCTTTGGACCAATAAAAATTTGATGATAGTAAAATGAAGAGTAAGTACTCATTCATAGAGAGTAGAAACTCAATAACACGAGATCGAAGTTTTATATATTCAGCGAGAACAATGATTCATTTATATTTCAAATGTCTAGTCTAGTCATGACACCTCCATTCGGCTCACATCTCGCTACTAAACATGATTTAATTTCGGAATTTAATTCGGTTACAACTGAAATGATTTATATTTAATTTTTCTTCCGCTTCGATACGCACAAATTTTATCACTATGTGTTCAAATATTAACAAGCTGTAGATAAGATACACGAGTAAAATGAGTATCATAAACTGCGAGGTAAAATGTTTACTGATTTCAAAATTCTGTAACAGATTTGTTAATTATTTGAAAAAATGGACGTGTAAAATTTGTGAAATGGAATATGGAGACTTACACTCCTACGTAGTCATAAAATTTAAACTTCACATCTCTTATCCACGGTACACATTGGAAATCGAAACGTTCATATCTGGCTTTTGAAAAATTGATATACATCTCGACTGATCTCATTCAATTAAGCGACGCTACGTCGTATTTTTATTAAAAATGTTACAATTTCTGACTTTGTGTAAAATGTCTAAAAATTGTATGCATATATATCTACGCTAGAGTACAGCATTGGGACAATTTGAGTAGGAGGGGGGAGGGGAGGGGGGTAATTTGTATAGAAAGATGAACACACACATATTTCAAAAAGAAAACAAGTTTATAAGAAAGCAACATCTTTGATGAAAAAAAGTAAATAAAAAGATCAAAGGGAAGGGCAGTTGCAATGTTAAATTAATGATGTGATGTGATATAACAATAAATAATAATGTTGCGTAATATCTTAGAATATAGTATAATGCGATCTATTAAGAGAATTTCGAGTAAATAGTAATTGATCGTTCCTGTAATGTTATAACCAGACTTGAAATTGAATGTGTGCGTTGAAGTCGCACATCAATCGAAAGGTATTTTTCGCTTTCGGTTATGTCCATTATAGAGAGATGGAATCTGATTCCATCATAAGAGACATTTGCTAATGTTCAGATGATGTAAATTGTTCTTCAAAACTGTATTCAAAATTAAAAAAAAACGTTTCGACATTTTCTCTCTTTATCAAAACCCAAGACTGGCTATAACTATGTCTATTGTATATTCAGTGTAAATATTATGTTCTAAAGTTAAATTTAAAGTTGTATACATATTATATAAAAATTATGTGATAATAAAGTATAATCCTTAACAATTTCATTTATATATCCACGTTTACGCGGTAATAAGAGAAAATAATTCCAAGACAAGTGAATCTCGACAAACAAAATTTATAATTTGGTTGTATAAAAAATTCGAATAATTAGAAGAAACATGTAATTGACACAATCGTGCCTCGTACAACCTTTTAGGCTAATGTATCAAGTTCTGATTTTCTGAAATAGCGCAATATAGGACTTGAAATATTCATAATTATATTAACTTTCGCGACATGGCACGCGATAACCAAACAAATACACTCGAATTGCACATAAAAGGTAAGAAAATATTACAGAAAATCGTAATAATATTACAGAAATAATAATACATATGATTTTAATATTTGTTATGTTTTTAGTAAATGGACAAAATTTATCAGCAATTTCAGAAAAGTGTAATATCGGCACGTTACGGTATATAATTATGCATACTATTATATTATTGAGTAAGAGCACCGACGAGATATTAAAGACCGACATTCTTTCGAGAGTTTGCGTCCTTGTGTTGAAGTGATTAAAAGTCAAAAACTGATTAACTAACTAATTGCACTAATTTTATGATTATTAATTTAGTAGACGTATTTATGCATTTAGAACTCAATAATGCTCGATTTTTCTTTAAAATTGTGATTTCAGTGTTATCAAAGTTTGATTCTCAACAGAGATGATAATTGCAAAGAAAAAATTATAATTTTTTGGCAATATATAGGATATCACAGCTTTACAAGTATGCATTTATTTATGAATCATTTATGTAACAAAAAATCATGTATTAGCCAAAATTTAATAATGTATTAGCCAAATATTTATGTTAATAATAGCAAATTTATATTAATTGTCGATAATGTCAGTGTTCTTCAATTATTTCTGTCCTTGGGGTCCTTTTTATATCGCCGAAAATTTGCCCAGGGTTAACGGTTTTTAATAATATCTTGTCAATGGTAAAAATAAATAAGATCTTGTTCACTTTTTGCTTACCATATTCTTGATATTAGAATTCCTTCCGATCCATCTTGGCCTAAAATACCTCCACGTTATTCAAGCAACATTACTGATGACATTATTGAACCTCCATGTGTGATCACTTTGACAGGAACTCCTAGAAAAGGTCGTAGTGTAGTGCAAACTGTTGCAAGCCGGTAAGTTTCAAGCATTTCAGATACTGCTATAAATGTAAACATAACTTTATGTCGCGATGAGATAAAAGTATTGCTACATTTCTTATTTTTTCTCTCTTTTCTTATTTTATTTTAGACATCTCAAATCAAGATTAAATCAAGAGTGTGAAGCAATCACGCAAATACCGAAAAGAATACCTGGCTGTTTTGATCCACGTTTTAGAAGGCATTAATTTCTCCAAGATAATATATTTCATATTAAATTTATGCTTTGTAATAATTTGTGACTTTATGGCAAGTCAGTTCTTTACTGTGTCACACACACACACACACACACACACACACACACACACACACACACACACACACACACATACAGGGTTGGTAAGTTAATGTTTTTTTTAACTGAATAAAGTTAAAGTTAATGGCTTTACAAAATTAATAAAGTTAAATTAAAAGTTGAAGGAATAAAAAATGAATTTAACATAAGTTAAGTCAATATTAACTTTTAACTTAAGTTAAAAAAAAAGTTAAAAAGTTAACGTTTAAGAGTAACTTAGTTAAATTAAAATTTAATGCATTTAAAATTAATTAAGTTAAGTTAAAAGTTATTAACTTTTTAACTTTTTTTTAACGTTTTAATTTTAGTTAGTACCTAACCCTGTGTGTGCGCGCGCGCGCGTGTGTGTGTATATATTATATATATATAAATTTGAGAAGAGTATAATATATACATATTATAATCTCTTTAAATTTATTCTTTAAAATATATTTTTTATTATATTTATTATATTTTTTTATTATATTATTTTTTATATTTTTTAACATTACTTAATATATTTTTATCTACGTTTCGTTTCGTTAACATGCCATACTAATACAGTTTGTAATAAAATGTAGACAGATATCACGGCAAAAGGCTGAGAAACCAGATGAATTTTATATCACAAAAAATGAACAAACACCAGAGTTAGATACACGTATCACGCAAAAAATTGAAAAGCTTGAAAATACATCACAGGAAACAAGTGAAAGCGTAAACGATTATGTACCAGCATGTCACAATGTAGATCATTTATTAAATGTAACAAAATCGGCGAACAAGATGACTGATTATTCTATTGGTGAACAATCCATTTTAGAAACAAAACAAAACTGTCCAAGTAATTGTACAAAATTGTTATATCGTGAAATGATTGCGTATGATTCAATTTTTAAAATCAATTTTAATTGTAAATTCATTTCAGCCTTGCAGTATGCGACTAATGAGCGATATGACGTTAGAAGTAGATTTCCTCAAGAACAAAATCAAGTATGCAAGGTTTCAATTTGCGATCGCGCGTTATGATTAGCATTGCATATTAAAAGCAGGCTTTTATTGTGTATTTATGTCTCTTAGGAGACTAATAGGCCACTGTTTTTAATGGTTAATGAGAAAAGGATACACGCACTACCTATCAATCCTGTTAACATAGAAACTGTGTCCTCATCCGTGCAGTCACTGCAGTGTTACAGCGTTCAAATTCCTGTAGTCGCATATCGCGATACACCTTTACAAATATCGAGCATGCTTACGCAAATGGAAAAGGATGTTAACATGCCGTCCGTGTGTCAAAATGACAGTGTGAAAGGTCGAGAAATTGTCGGGAATGTCTGTACAGAATCGATGAAGAGTATCAGTTCGATGCATAGCTTCAAGGAGTCTAAGAATGAAAAATATTCACTTGATAGTAATATATCATTATCTCAATAAAATATGAATAAATTTTTATATGAGTCTTCACGATTGATACGTAAATAATATATTTATAAGGCGATAAGCTCGATTGGAACGTACTTAGCAACAAAGTTATGTTTCGCAAACATTTCAAATCTGAATTCTTTGATTTTTTAAATCTTTGAGTCCTCAATTATAAAATATATTGCGTATGGACAATCGCGAGAGCTCATACAGGCATTTTACTTGTATTTATTTTTAGAGCCACAAAATTATTTTTAATTTAATATTATCAATAATTTGATAAGACAAGGACAATCAAAATTTTGCTGTTTTTAGATATTGAACATTATAACGCAAAGAGCAACGATGATATCTCGAAGAACAAAAGTATTTCCAAGAATTGTGAAGGACACCACACTTCCGAGCGCAAAATAGGCGTGAAGAAAAACGTCGCATCGTTAAATCAAGATATTACAAAGAATATCATGCTCGATAATGATCGTTGTGAAAACTTTGATGAGTTAAATAATGCGGTTGATGTCAATGATAAAAGTTTAAGTTACTCAAATTTAAATATCGCTGCAAGATCGAAAAATTTCGTCGATCAAAGCTACGTGATAGATTCTTGTATCTCAAATGGAGAAAAGAATGAGAGAGAAATGTTGAAACCGAGTGAAAGAAATATGACGAAAGCGCGGATATATTCGTGTATTGACACGGGGATACAAAAACTGGCGCATTACGCAAAAGATAATCGAGGCAATGCAGTTAAATCTTCGACAAATGTAATAAATGACAAAATACTGGATAAAAGTTTAGCCTTTAGTCAAGTTGACGATAAGGAGGAATATAGCAAAAGTAATATGAAAAAAGAAAGTAAGAAGGAAAAGCACGAAGAGGAAGAGCTGCGCATTAACGTAAAACGTAAAACGGTACCGATGAATCTGTCAAAAAAGGCAAAGTCATTCTTACGGAAGAAATCCCGTTTCGCGATTACAGATTCCGACTGTACTCTGATACTGCCTGGTTATCGTGGCATTAAAGGTAAACGATATAAAAAGAGCCGCGGTCGCTCCAAAATAAGTCAATCGTTACACGGAAGAAACGGAATAAATAGTACGAATTCTATATTAGTAAAGTACAATGCGTCGAAACAAGATCGAATAAATTCTCGTTCGTTAACGAATCTACGAATGAGAAATTCATTTGAGAAGCCATCATCCATTCCTCTGGAGACTCAAGAGCTGTTAAACAAAAGTTATTGGGAGTATTACTGGAAACTCCGATGTAAAATCAAGCCAGATAATGCAAAAGAAAAAGACGAATGTTTAAACGAGCATCTACCTGAATCTCAGACTTTACGACAATGTTCTGTCCTCTCCTGCATGATCAATACAGCGCTTCGAGATTCAACTCGAGCGACTGGTGACGAAAGAGTGTCTTCAAATCCGAACATGACATCAGTTGCACAAGAAAGCGTTTCTGCATTACCCATGTTGGTGAAGAAGATTCAACGAAAAAGAATGAAGCGAGCGAGCAAACGATTGTTCGGACTTCGAGCCATAGGTACAATAGATATGTTTCTTTCTCTCGTTCGCTCGCTCAACAAAACTATTTTTTTCGATTTACTTAATTCTTAAGCTCATCTCTATCAATGTAGATAAACATTAATCTCTAATTTATCTTCTTCTAATTGTAAATATTAGAAAAAGATAGAGAGTACAATAAATTAAATCAAGATTAAACTACATTGATAGAAAGGAACATTAATTGTAAACAATTTAATCTTTATTCTTCAATTTAACGTTTATAATTCTATTAGCATTGCTGTGTATCGCGATGTATGTCGCGGTGATATTTTTGCCTATGATGTACGACTATTTCTTCGACGACGAGGAATACGACGATGAGAACACGAATTATATCGAACTAATATTCCAATACATCACATCGTCATTTGGAGAAGCTCTCGATGGAATTATCGACGTCTTGAATACGATTTTTTTATGGCCAGTAAGATTTGATCGAAAGCGGTAATCTTCGCTAACTCTTTCAAATTCGTGGTAGATGGTTTCGTTGCAATGGTCATATCTGTACAAATCCATATTAGGCGTTCTATAATCTGTGTCATTTTCAGCATTTGTAATGTGAGAAATGTTAAGTTATTCGAGTCCGTGTCTCTAACTTGTTTTGTCACTCATCCTTGGCTGATCGTTTATACACATTTTATTACATAGCGTACGACATCCGACGTATGACGTCCGATATCCAATAAAAGAATTTATTTCCTGAAGACAAAAAATATCACTAACTAGAACCGAATTCTCTTGTTGGATATCGTATTGTCGAATATCATATGCTGTGTGAATCTTACATTATTATTGTTTACAACGTTTTCGTAAGTTGTGTGTATCTATATCTTTATGCAGAACGTATTTCTTACAAATATATATTGTATACATACACAAATTTATATATAATATACATATAATTGTGTATATCACTATTGCGTCCATAGGTTTGATTATATATAATGCGAAATGAAAACAGAAACAATTCTACTGAAAAAAAATCACGTCAATATTGAATTACATGATGGAATCATGTAATTAAAGCATGTAAACATACAAATATGTAACGGATTGTTCCAAATCAATATGTTTTTTAAAATGATATGATTTGAAAAATCACACATGATATTACAAATATAATTTCATCCATCATGTGATTTCATATATAGTTATCGAATTTTAAAGATTTGATTGATAGAAATAGAAGAAAAAAGAACATATCATGTGACCTTTTTAAAATATGTATAATTTTAAAATTACATTACTTATTTGGAATAATCCGTTACATTTTTTTTTTTAATACATGTTTCAAATACATGATTTCATCATGCAACTATGTAACGTGATTTTTTTCAGTAGAGAAGACAATTTCGACGTGTTGCAATAAAAATATTTGTATATTTATATATAAAATTAATTATAATTCGAAACGACTAAAAAAAAAAGAGATTATTGTTTCTCGTCTTTATTAGTTTTCATTCTTCAACTCTTCATGATTGTTTCGTGACTGAGATAAAAAGTAAGGCCATTGACTGTGTTCAGCAGAAAAAGCAGCTTTGCTGTTGTTTCTTGAGTATTTATGTGGCATTTTTTCATTATGCAACTAGAAGCAATCACACTAAGGCTATCTTCGTCTTTTGATTCCTGAAGACGAAAATAGCTTTAGCCGATGATAGCTTCTGGTTGGATAATGATAAAACATGATTGGTTTATACATTTAGATCCAGTGAGCAACTAAGGGCAAGACCAATCATATTAAAGAATTTTACAACAGTTGCAAAACTGCTATATGGGCGTCATATTGAAAATTAGATACTAGCACTTCCGAATTTGAAGGACAAAATTATATATACAGGGTGTAAGTTTTTGTCAAGTACTTGAGTGAATAGATAGAGCGGACTAAACTAAGTCAAAAAGTCCTCTACCATTTTGCAATTTTCGCAATGATTAATGAAATATTAACAGAATTGGGTAGTGCTAAGTTAAAAAGATAAAAGTTAATAAATAAGCTGTAAGAAAGGAAAAACACGAAAAATTATGTAAAATAATCAAATTTTTTTCTCTTTTTTTCTTTGATTGTTCGAACCAAATTTAACTTTTAACTTTTTAATTAATATTTTAAATTTTTTTATTAATTTAACTTTTAATTCAATTAATTTTATTATGGATTAACTTATATTTTAATTAAGTTAAATTTTCAAGGCCGTTAATTTTAACTTAATTTAAAAAAAAAGTTAACTTACATAATTAATTGCTAAAAAACGCTGAATATTGATTTTCAACAATTTTTTACTCAAATACTATCAACTTTACAGAAAAACTGCAAAAGACAAAAATCATTTATTTTCTTCTTATGGAACTTTAAGAATTTTTTCAGAATTTTTTAAGACGTATTTTCTCATGTTGATAAAAATAAGAAAATCTAAATTAAAAAGTTGATAAAAAATTCTGAAAAAATTCTTAAAGTTCAAGTATTCGAATAAAAAAATTATTGTAGAGCAATATTATAATTTTTAGTAATTAATATTTTTTGTTCACTATTGCGAAAATTACAAAATGATAGAGGATTTTTCGATTCAGTTTAATTTCTATCTATATAAAAGCGCTTAGCAAAAATTTACTGGATACTCTGTATATAATAATATAATACATACATGAATTGCTGGCAAGTTATTATTTGTCTGTATCATAATAAGATAACTGAATTAATATTTTCAACACGAAAACTTTTACCGACAGTACAGGAGAAGAGAATGTAATAATACGTGTGCCCTCCAAATTGAGATACGCTAGTGTCTTGATTCTCAATTTATATATATCTATGACTCTTCGCGTTCCGAACATTCCTGAATTTCCGAATGACCGGCTGTGAGCTGTGCTGTGAGCATCGCTCTGGAACGCACGTGCACTGTGAACAGGACATACGTCAGCACACGTGCTCTTAATACTCCGAATATTTCAGTATTCCGCCGAGTGCTCTCTTCCAAAGAAGTTTATTTCCTCGCAATTGACGTGACTAAAAAATAAAAGGACGATAATCTCAACGGAAAATTATGGCAGATTATGTATTGGGCGATTTAAAGGATATACCGTTACCGGACGATGGCTTGTCGGCGGCGCAGCTATTTGCCGCGGGCGATGGCCTTACTTATAATGATTTTATCATATTTCCCGGTTACATTGATTTTACGGCGGATGAAGTCGATCTATTCTCACCGTTAACGAGAAGAATCACGTTGAAGGCACCTCTTGTGTCTTCACCGATGGACACCGTTACCGAGTCTGACATGGCTATAGCTATGGCCCTATCTGGCGGGATCGGCATCATACATCACAATTGTACCGCCGAATATCAAGCCAATGAAGTGCACAAGGTAACATATTCTTCATCGACATAATCATTTTAGGTATGTACTCGTGAAAACGAATTCAACATAACGTATACATACCTATATAATTTGAATTTCCATAGCAGCGTATAAAGTACAAACGTTTTCGTTTTATTATACGTAATTCCTGTATTAAATATTGGATGTTATAATTAATATGATTTTATAATAAATCAGTAATCTGTAATTGGTGAGTCGAAAACAAGTCTGAAGGCTAGTTGGTAAGTTAGAATTGATGAATCAGTGGAATTTGCCAGTCAACTTCTAATACTACAGACTATCGACTTATTGTAGAATTAGCTTTGAACTTGTACTACATAAATAAATTTTTTTGTTTACAGGTAAAAAAATACAAGCATGGCTTCATTAGAGATCCAGTTGTATTGGCACCACATCACACCGTCAATGACGTTTTAAACGTCAAGGCTGAGCATGGTTTTAGCGGAGTACCCGTAACAGACACGGGTAAAGTCGGCGGTAAGCTGCTAGGCATTGTCACCTCGAGAGACATCGACTTTCTCGAACGTTTGCCCAATTATCAACATAAATCACTTAGCTCTATAATGACAACTTTGGAAGATTTAATCACCGCACCAGCTGGCGTAACGTTGCAAGAGGCAAATGTTATATTGGAAAAGTCGAAAAAGGGAAAGCTTCCCATCATCAATGAACGCGGCGAACTTGTATCTCTGATGGCGAGGACAGACTTGAAGAAGAATCGTAGCTATCCAAACGCTAGCAAGGATGAAAATAAGCAGCTATTGGTAGGAGCTGCGATAGGAACGCAAGATGCGGATAAACACCGATTGGAACTGCTCGTCGCAGCTGGCGTGGACGTAGTGGTATTGGATTCGTCACAGGGCAATTCATTATATCAGATCAACATGATCAAGTACATCAAGAAGCAGTGTTCGAATTTACAAGTGATCGCTGGCAACGTCGTGACTACGAAGCAAGCCAAGAATCTTATAGAGGCGGGAGCTGATGCGTTACGCGTTGGAATGGGTTCCGGATCTATTTGCATAACGCAAGAGGTAATGGCTGTAGGACGGCCTCAAGCGACAGCTGTCTATAAGGTTTCCGAATACGCTAGAAAATTTGGAATACCCGTCATAGCGGACGGTGGTATTCAGTCTATCGGCCATATTATTAAAGGTCTCAGCTTAGGTGCTAGTACAGTTATGATGGGTTCTCTCTTGGCTGGAACATCTGAAGCTCCAGGCGAGTATTTTTTCAGCGACGGAGTCCGTTTAAAAAAGTACAGAGGGATGGGTTCATTGGAAGCCATGAATAGAAAGGACGCTAAAGGTTCAGCGATGGCTAGGTATTTTCATAATGAAATGGACAAATTAAAAGTAGCTCAAGGTGTTAGCGGGTCAATAGTGGATAAAGGTTCGGTCCTTAAATTTCTGCCTTATTTGACTTGCGGTATCAAGCATGGTTGTCAAGATATAGGAGCAAGGTCGCTTACCACTTTGCGATCTATGATGTATAGTGGGGAATTGAAATTTGAAAGAAGAACGCATTCAGCTCAACAGGAAGGCAATGTACATAGCTTATTCTCCTATGAGAAAAGGCTGTATTAGTTGTGCAAAATAATAACTCGTAAAGCACGCGTCATGCGTGCAGGAAAAGTACCTGCATTTAATTGAATACCATTATTTTACAAGACTAGTTATT